ATGCATAGCCTGATATCTACCCCATTCTTCTTAATGATCACCACGCTTGGGGAAGCCCATGGTGATTTGGAATAGTTAATCATCTTGGCAGACAGTAGACCCTTGATCAGGTCTGCCAGCTTCTCCCTGAATTGGATCCGCAACTTACGGCACTTGATGGCGACGGGTCTCACTCCCCCGACATCGATATCACACACCACACCTCTAGCTGCCGGCATAAGGGCATTTTCGTTGCCGATCAAGAGGTGTCGGAACTTCCCGGTCTTTTGACGAAGTCGATCAATCTCCTTGGGAGTCTGATTATCAGATCCGCATAGTTGGATATCTTCGTTCCTCACATCTTCCGTCGTCACAGGTACTTCCGGCAGTACCGCCATCTGACCATCGACGTCTTCGGCGTATAGATCACTCCCTTCATGGTAATACACGCATTCATCATAATCTTGATCTGAGTCCCTGGTAAGGTCCAGATCCGATGTGCCTGGTTGATCTTCCACAACAGATGATGGATCCTTGTCCGTTTTTTGCGACAAAGACGTGACGTACTTGTCGTTCAACCGATCACCGGTCATCTCCTGTCCCAGGCTGTACATTCACCATTGATGGCAGGTCCGATCCGCCACCTTTCGACGGCGACGTTCCTGGATCTTAGCCTCCCGAATGTAGTTGATCCAGACTGACATCCTCCATTTCATCTCTGGCATTTTCTTCTCGCATTCCTTCCATGTCTGTAGTTTTCCCCAGCAGCAGACTAGTCGTCCCTATGTCCGGCGTCACTTCGTCGAGATGTTCTAGCGTCTCCTCAACCGTTACGGCGTGCAATAGAGAGTCTTCGTCTGCGATGGACGGCAGATCCTACTCCTCACTTGCGACAGACGCTAGATCCAACGGTCGCATATCCGACGGCGATTTGTCCGACGGCGACTCGTCCGAGGGTAGGCAGTCAGGAATATCTTGATCCTGACTCGTTTCGACTTTCCGACACTGGATCAACGTTGCCTTCGGTCTTTGGAGTATTGTGCGCGGGGTTTCATACTCGGGCCACTCCACCGTGGGCACCAGCGGGATCTTGACCTTTGTTTCTTCGGATCGGGTGTCTGTAGTAGCTTCCAACGCTAGATTCTGCCATTCCATGTAACGACGAGAGCCGATCGAGATAAAACCTGGTATCCGTGGCACATGATCCCAAGCCAGCCAGATCCCGATCCGTTGGTCTTGATGCAGGATCAACACTTCGTCCCCAATATTGGTGATCGAGATGTATTTCGTCCGCCCTGGTCCACCGGATATTGTTGGCACCCATTGATCTCCCCGCGTGACCCACAGCTTGTCGTGGATCGACGATCTCAGGCGCAGTGGCAATTCCACCGACTTCCCTGCTCTTGGATTCGAAGGTATTGGCCGACGGATCTTGCCTGTGATCTTCGCCTGCCGAAACCATTTACCTGGCGAATGATGCTTCCAGTATCCTCGGGACTCTCCCGGTAGCAGATCCATGGTCGTTGACAGCCGGTACTCCGCGATCTTGCTAGGCCTCTGGACCTCTGGAGTAGCTTCATGATCTGCGGGCTTAAACCATAGATCTGGATCCTGCTGTCTCCAATAGTCTCGTGATTCCCCTGGTTGGAGATCCACGCTCATGGTGACTTCGGATCTGGCATATTATATATATATCGTCGACTCAGCGAAGACTTGAGATTGCGAAGGTGCGTTTCCCATGCAGATCACGTGTATTACCATGTGGATCTGGTCTTTACTAACCTGATCTACCGATGTCTTGTTCACAAATGCATAGATGCTGTATCTAGAACGCTCGGCTCGTATCGGGTTCCACCCCGACGAGCGTCCTAGTTTAACATCTTCTCAACAGCTTCGGGTAACATGCCCATGTGCTTCGTGGGGTTAACCCACTGACGGATCTGGTTATAAAACTCTTCCATCGGACATTTTCCCATGTCATGCAATTCTCCACATCCGCGTCACACGAAGAGGCAGTGAGCCGAGGGATGCCCTCTCTTGCCGCATTTCGTGCATGTAACGCGCCTCCAGCAACCAAGACCCGAATGCTTCCTGGATCCACAGTGTGAACACCGATCGCGGTTGAACCCGTTGCCGTGGGTCTTCGGGTTGTGATCTTGATGGCCCCGATCACGCTCCGGGAGCTGTGGATCCAGGCTTGCCGACTCCTTCTCCACTTTCGGGGGAACCTCTTCATTCGCTGCGAGGAAAATCTTGCGATGGCTATCCGCGTCGGAGTCAGATCCGCCCGATCGATCCGTCCGATTCGCTGTCAGATCCAGAGTCGTTAGCTTGGATCTGGATCACGCGTACTTGTTTCGCTGGAGCGGACGGGGTGGAGTTGGTGGGCTTCTGCCGGTACTTGCTGGATCCGAACGCGGCTTCTTTTGACGATTCTTAGCGCGATCCCGAGCTCGGAGGACCTCCTCGAGATGATCCGCGTCAGTCAACCGCAGCAGGGTCAGCCTTTCTGTGAGATCTTGATCCTCGAGCGTCTCGATATAATGATCAACATGTTCGCG